GATATATTTGCTATAAATCACATAACAGTATTTATTAAAAGAAATGAAATATTAATGTATATTCTCAGTAGTTTTAATTTGCTAAACCAGGTAGTTTTTCAAGTAATAATTGTCTCTTATGTGAACTGAGGAAAAATATAATTTCCAGCTTTATTTTTTCAATTGGTAATTTTTATTTTCACTAAATGTTAAGTATCAATGTAATCATTTATATAATAATAGATTAGTACACAATTGTATGTCAACACATTATTTATTACCTTAAACTATCTGGAATTTATTATTAAAGGGTTACGCTTGCTTAAAATTTATTATCGTGGAAATTCAGCTTTTTTGCCTTTTGTCTAATCTCATCCCTGCAAACTGTAATATATGCTTTTTAATTATAGTAAATAGTATTACCATTTGTTAAAATAATATAAAAGATGCAAGTAATTTGTCATTAAATTTAGCAAAGGGTTAGGTCATAAACTTAAAAATTTGTAATTAATTTAATGTATATTTGATTAATCTTTATGTATTTATTGCAGTTTTTGCATCCTTGACTTGAAGTGTTCTTAAAATGGAAAATTTTTATCCTGGGCATCCATTTGCAAGATTGCCACAACCAGACATGTATAATTTTAGAAGAAATGATACAGCAGATTATTACAACAATCTTCATGTTATACCGACTAATGTACCACCACCTGTACACATACCATATTTTCCACCACCTGTGCTACCAGACATACCTCTTTACCAACAGCAAACTTCACCTACCGATAGCAGAATTGTAAAATTTAAAAGCAAAAATAAGTCAAATTATCCTAATCGTTCCAGACCTAGAAGTAATTTAATAGAAGTAAGATCAACACCACAACCACCTGTTAAAGTTAGAACTGCTGAGGTAAGGCCACCTCCTCAACAGCCTGTCAAAATTAGATCTATTGAACCAAAACCGACTGCTCAAGCATTTGTCAATGTCCCAATTATTGAATCTAGCTCCTCACACAATGTTACGGAAACTAAAGTTTCAAGATCATCGGAAGTAGAATCTAAATCTCCTTATAAATCACATTCCTATGCAAATGAAAGATATTCAAGTTTAAGATCTGCCTCAAAACCTGTAAGTTCCTCTAGCACTTATTTAGACTTTTCCAGAAAATCATTTAAGTCATCAAGAGATTTTACACCCAGAGATCATGTTAGAGAGCATTATGATAAGTATTATCATGATAAACATAGAAAGAATGACAATGATAAATATAAAAAGAGAATCTGGGAACGTGAAAAGTACACACAATCTAAGAAATATTTGAATGATAAGAATAAACCTGTTGCTAAGAAACAGCCCCAACCTGATGAAGCTTTCGAAGATGTCTCAGACTCGGCATTAGATGATGATTTTGAGGAGGTTGAGGTTGTATCTGGGGTTGAAATGAAAGAGAAAGTACTGCCGATTGGTTTTCGTAAGTGCAAGGTCAGTTATTTAAGTACTAAAAGAAACTTATTTTACAAACCTAGAATTTACTCTATTTGTCCAGAAAGAACTGTCATTGACTATTGGAATTACGATGAAGAAGAAATTATAGATAAAGAAGATGATGTTATAGTTACTGAGGAGGTTTATGAAATGGAAAGTGAAGAGCTCACAGAAGAGAAAATGGATTTGGAATCTGTTGAAATTAAAAAAGAGGTGAAAATAGAGGAAGATCAAAAAGCAATGTTAGAATCTGTAGAAACTGGAAAAGACAAGAAAAAAGAGAAAAATCAAGAAACAATAATTATTTCATCTAAAACAGATCCACCAAGAAATACATCGAACACAGACCTGAAAAAACAGGTATGTTGTTCTAAGATGCATTATAGACAGTAAAATTTTAAATTTCAACAAAAAGTTGCAAAATTTGCACTAGCAAAATCAACTGTTAACCGACCTTATTGCCAAGCAGTAAATATTTTTATCACTCTTCGTCAAAGTTAAACAAAGCTACCTTTCACACTTACAGAATGACAGATATTTTTTCCTCACTTTTCCTAAATTGGATCAATTTATTTAGTAAGAACAGAAATATTTTCAAAAAATTTAATTTTCATGAGAAAAAAATTTACACTAAATTTTGTTTCATATATTGAATGAATAGTTCTGTTTAAACCTTTTAATGACATTTCAACAGCAATTCTCTGTAGAAAAACAAATCTATGGAATAGTAAACCATATTTATTATAACTTTTATAATGGAAGACTCACAATTATAAAGAATGAAGTTTAGACAATAGAACACATTAAACTTATTTTCCAATTAAAAAAATTAAGTCAAATGTTCACATTGAGAATAAAACTGTTATAAAATTCAATATGCCATATGTTGCCCATTGCTTGAGAAAATTGAAGTGAAAAAAAATTTTTAATTATTTAAAAAGTTTGACTGTCTTGTTAAGTGTTGAACTCTAGAAATAGGCATATTTTCATTGAGGATATTTATAAATTTTTGTTTTGTTATTTGAGGTATTTGTTGCATTTTAATGCTATGTTGTGTTTCATATTTTTTTAAACCTACTTCAGGTTTTTTGAAATGTGACAACCCTATAAAGTATAGCTAATAATAATAAAATAAAAAGCCTCATAGTTTTAAATTATCTTATCTTCTCCTATTGTACTTCTCCCATTAATCAAATCACATAATTCAAGTAAACCCTTTCTTTGTTTAGTTTTGAACATTTTTAACTGTTTCATTTTATGACTTAATTTTTCCAACTCAATATATATATATTTATTGCAATAAATAATTATTACATGAAATTTAAGCTGTTCTTTTATACAGGACTTGGATGATGACTCAGCTATGTCTAGGTCTTATCGTATCTGTCTACCAGATATTTCTGGTAAGTGAATATTATTCAATTTATTGGGAACTTTTAATGCTATTGAAATAATTATCATTTATTTCTCCAAAGTAATTTAAATTTTATAAGCTATTATTTCCTAATGGAAAAACAAGTAAATAATGATTAAGCTAGGAATATAATAAATATTCGCCAAAGTATTTTTTGGAAAATTATTTTTCAACAAAGATTTTTGGGGGGAAATTCCAATAGATTTAATACAGAATAATCTAAAAATTTTATTTTTACTATATGTTATTCCAAATAGTTTTTAAACATATTTTGTGATGATCATGTGCTGATGAGATGAAATCGAGTGATGAGATTAATATATGTAATTACAATTTGGAATATAAACTTCTTTTTTTTATAGCCTTTTTTATCATAGCACTGAATTTTTAAAAGCATTTCTGTTAAACTTTCTTTCGAATTTTAATGGATAAATGTTTTTTCCTGAAAATGATATTTTTAGCATTAAAGTGTTTTTTTAAGAATTAAGAGAATTTTTTTTTCAATTAACTACAGTTTTTTTAAATNCTGTTAAACTTTCTTTCGAATTTTAATGGATAAATGTTTTTTCCTGAAAATTTTATTTTTAGCATTAAAGTGTTTTTTTAAGAATTAAGAGAATTTTTTTTTCAATTAACTACAGTTTTTTTAAATAGCTATTAGTCAGATTTTTTTTTACTCTTAAATGTTTCTAAGTAATCTTATTATTGTCGTTATTCTAAACATTTCTATTAAAGTTTTTTGTTTTTTTTTTCCTTTACCCCATACTAATAATGCAGCTGAGTTTTGATTATTTTTTAATAATAACTGTATTTATTTCTACATAAAAAAATGACATTTATTTATTTATTTGTCCAAATATTCCTCTATTCGTCAAAACCACTATTCGGTACATCCCTAGACTAAACATTAATTGCTATTTAAATTTTTAAGTTAAACTCCTGAATAGCATTGAATTTAAAAATATTATGATTAAAATGTTTTAATTTGAATGTTTTATCAAAATTTCATGAAAAGCTTTGAAAAAAATTATTATTTTAAAAGTTGTTTTTGTAGTCAGAGGCAGAGGGCTGTGTTAAAACCTTTTTAGGACAACAATCTGTCCCTAGACTGTGAAATATCTTATAAAATAAAAATTAAGTTACAAATACAAGAAAAATTGTGTAATAGTGCCTCAATAGTATTTCTAGACAGTAAATGGAATAGTCTTGGTCAAATAAAAAACAAAATATTTGGTATTTTTATTTGTCTTATCCCCTTTTTTCAATTCATTAATTTTTTTAAAAAATAAAATAAGCCCTTCCATAACAACCAGTTGCTGGTCAAGATGTTCATAGGGATAAAGGCTTAAACCAACTACAAGATAGTACACAATTATAGCTCAATGCCTTAATAATTGTTTCTCATTTATATACTTAGTTTCATTATTAAGGTCAAAATAAAGATAATTTTAATGTAAACTTACTAGCTCAACGAGTTATTGTTTGTCAAAAATTATTATGTTGCTAAAAAAAAGTATACATTTTTTTAATCTAAAAAAAAAGCTATTTTCATAATTGAAGAACAGTATTCAACATAATGAGCTTATATTCTACATGTTTTATTCCAATCTTATATGCTCTGTTATGTTATACGTAATGCAATTTCTGTTAGCATTTTAAAAAAATTTATATAAAGATATATTTTAGGCATATAAATATGCAAATAATTCTGTAATATGTGTTGATAATTAAGGAATTTGTCTTCAAGACTTAAATAGTTTAATCCCTAAATGTAATATAATTTATGTTTCATATTTAAAAATATTTTTATGTATCTGTAAATTCATAATTTTTTTCTTAATTATATAGAATTTTTTCAAGGAGAAGCCATTATTCAACCTGATTTAGATGCCTGGAAATCTCATCTCATCGGTAAATTAATAGATGTTTTAGTTTTTAGAATTAGATTTGAAATTTTATTCCTAAACTGTTGGATACACAGCTTCATTTCTTTTCAATATATCCAGTTATGTTTTTATTTCCCTTTATTAATTAATCAGTATTAGAATTTTTCATTCTTGTTAAATTTATTTTATCTAAATGATTTGCATTAGCTTAAATGATTTAAAAAAAACTTATGGACTATGAGTGTTTCAAAAGACTAATACCGATACAGACTGCTACTAACAAAATCATAAAGGCCGGGATAGCCTGGTCGGTAGGGCGCCGGGCCAATGTTCGTGGGTTTGAACCCTGCCGGTCGAAGGCTCCCCGTGTAGTAAAGTGACTGATGCACATTAAATCTGTCGAGTCCACAAAAGTCCCATAACAAATCAATTCCTTTGGGGGCACTGGATTAGAGAGCAATCGTTCTCTGATTCAGATCAAAATTACGATCTGTGAATGAATGAATGGGTCCGCCCTATAAACAGGTGCGAGGTATGATATGGCAGAAGTCGAATTCTGGGCCATAGATGGCGCCACTGAAAAAACAAGAAACCTACACTCTGCGTTAAATTTGCTCGATTTCACCAAGTAGGCTTGCCCGTGTGGCAAGTGGCATTAGAACCAGCCAACCAACTAACAAAATCATAGGATTATATGTTTCTTTTTTAACTAAAATTTGAAGGACCGGAATCATTACAATATCAAAACACATTGAAGCAAACCTTTAATCTATTCATTATCACTGATTTTAAAAGCAAAATTTTGCTAGACATATGTTTTAAGTTTCGTAATATATGTAGCATGTAAATAAATTTAATTTTCTCTTTATGAACATGAACAAAGTTGCAGGTATGAATTGTCCTTCCCACTATATTTCCGCTTTCTTTTTTATTTTACCTTTTTTTGTAAATTTTAAATATAGGGCCTGTTAGAAAACTTTTAAGACACAAAAAGTTTTTTCTGTTTTATAAGTTATGAGCTGTTTTAAATATTAAATATTTTTTTTTATCTTTAATAGTTTATCTACATTTTTTGTTGCCTTTTCCTATCTTTACAAAAGACACCTAATTAAAATTTACTTCAATAATCAGATTTATTCCAAAATTAAACAGTGTAAAATAGGAAATAATTTACTTACCAGGCAACTAATTTGATCTTCTGCAAAATCATGCTGATTGCTAAGTAGACAAAGCACATGTATTCTGTAATTAAATTTTTAAGGCTTATATTTCAAAATTATTGGTTTAGTTATTTTGAAATAAGATATAAATTTAAAAATTTTAAATTAAAATAAATTTTTCTTTCAGGTTTGAGTTATATAATTGAAATCAGAGATAAAACAGATGATACAAATATTCTTCGGCATCATTGTATACTCTGCTCTGACGATATCCATGCAGAAAATGACAGTGGAGAAATGGTGATCGATCATATTTCATCTTATAAACATATGTTCAAGTATTTGGTATGTTTTAGAATTTTTTTATTTTGGCTATAATTTAATTCAAAAATTCTAATATAATATTTGTTAGTTTGCATATGCATTAAGACCAACCAATTATACAGTTAAGAAAATAAAATAAACTTTTCCTTATTACTTTTAGCCATGGATAAATGTATAAAAAATACTTATAAGATCTGTTATTTTTTAAATTTTTATAAGATCAAGGATGAGAATCCTCTGCTTTTCTGCTGTTTTCTTTTTACTAAAATACTGATTTTGTTTAACTTTTATCCAATTTCCTGTATGATGTCATAAAAAAAACTTTGTATCACTGAAACCAAATCCAGAGTTTTGTGAATTTTACAGCTTTTCATCACAGCGTGGATAAAAAGTCCCATATTTTTTTCCTCTCGTCTCCCACAAAAATATTACTTCTGTCAAAATAATCTTTCATGAGGTTTTAGAATACATTTTGATTGAATCGTGGATTTGCGATTAAATGGGCATGACTGGAGCATGTGCTGATAATTCAAAAGTGTAATTCGAAATTCATGGATCATAACAGTGTTGTATCAAGAGAGAAATAGAAATCTTAAATCTGTAAAAGTTCCAAGCTGTAACTGTTGAAAATGCAATCGTCAAAACCACATGGACAATTAAATCATCACAAATTGGGTGCATCAAAAAATTGTTCATTATATTCACGGTTCAATAATTCGCATACAAACAATATGAATTTAAAAATAAAGATTATAAAAACCATGGAAATATCTGACAGAAATGTGATCCTAAAACCATGTTTGTTCACAGGTGAATCGTCACTAATCGAGGGCATAATAATGTAATTCTTCAAATGCAAAATTCTAAGTTCACTGCACAAACTATTGCATTAAAACATTTGGATTTTAAAAACTGTGTGATTATCCGTTTTGATAACTCCGAAGAAAAACTATGTAAAATTTTCAAGTGAATTAAGAAATGATTACTCAAATGCACGGTTCGGAATTTATTTACATTATAATGGTGTATCAAAACATCAGTATATTAAAAGCCATGTGGAAATCTTCCAATGGTTGTCGAAATAGCGGTTTCAAATGGTAGACCACGTGGATTTATGGTGGAATCGTTACTAATCGATTGGATCAAAATAAAAAGTGATTACTCAAATGTGTGCCCCGAAGTTCCTGATACACCATCAGGGGTGAATGACTTCCTCAAAAGCGAAGCGGAAATCCTCTTTTTTCTCCCAATTTTTAAAATTTCTGACTATGTTCCAAAAACGTAATTTTTATGGGAATTGCAATTATTACAGAACCCCCCCCCCCATCCTTAACTGCCGAAACCCTACCCGTCTGAACAATAGAACAAACTTTTTCTCCTGCAGTAGCCTCGGGAGAAAATGGGTGGAGCTTCGACAGTTGTGCCGTTGCCTTGACTACCGCTGTAAAGTGGAAAGGATAAGGTTCTTCGTTGTTGAGTTCTAAGCAGTTTCATTTCGACCGCCTATGTTTGACGGGTATTGACCGCATTGGTGCGACGTGTATTGAATTTTTCACATCCGTGCATTATGGTTCTCTCGACTCTGCTAGTTCTTATTTTTGACTGTTCCTGCATTTGTCCGTGCATATATTTGTTTTCTGTTTACTTGTGTCCTTTTCACGTGTGCATCGTAAGATGAATGTATTTTAAAGATGTAAGTTAATTTGATAGACGAACACCAAAGTGCGTATGATCTATGCTGCTGGAAAAAATTTTCAATTTTGATTAGTTAAATAAGACAGTCAAACTGACTAAAACTGTTAGCAACAATCTATTAGAAGATATTGAGGTGAAAGTTAGTGACTGCTTAATTTAAAATCATTGACTGGCAATTATTTTAAAATAATGATTATTCAGCTTTATATATTGCTTAGTTTTCTTTAATATAGTAGTGGTCTAAGAGAATTATATTTAAGAAAAATTTAAATTTCACTGTCTAAATGCTTCTACCACTTTTAATATTAAATAAAAAATCTCATGGCAGAGTTATAATTTTATATACCTTATTGATGTCACAGTATTACATAGAACACTCCCTCCCAACCTCCCAGTGTCTGTCGTAAAAGTTTAGCTTTTATTTTTGTCCACTTTCATGCCTGCACTATGAAGTTGTATTACATCATTAAGATTTGACTGAATTCAAAGGAATATGTTTTTAGGTTGCTGTAGTGCATTACTACTTTTCATTACAATTTGTCTTATATCACTCACATATTTGAGCTCTCAAGATATTGATATTAGTTGAATCGTCAAACTTCAATTTTTGAAAGATAAAAGAAATTTAGTTCCATTAAAGATTTATGGAACAATATATTTGATCTTAAAATTGAATACTATATATAACATTATTGATGTTATACAACAAATGAAGCTAGTTTCCAACAAAAAAAATGAAAAGACTGTCAATATTTTTAACTTCAACTTCTGAAAGCTGCTGAAATTCTATGAAAATGCTGAATGTTTTATAAACATTATCAGAAATGTATATGAAAATTACAATATAAAAATTATTCATGCTGGCCAAGAATCAGAATCCTTCGAGTAGATTTGGATGTTGACGACTTCATTTTTTTAATTAATAAGACCATTTTACGGTCTTAATTGCTATTAACTCAATTATAAAGAGAGTATCAGTGAATAGATGGAGTATAAGGTGAAACCTTGCTTAATATCTTTCTGACCTTGATTTTGCAGACTATTTATGTTTACTGACCAACACCCTTTAAGACTTAAAACAAACATTTTAAATGTTGAGGCTAAAAAAAAAAATGAGACTTATTATCAACCAAAGTTTGAAAATAATTCTAAACAGTTAAAGGGCATATTCATAAAAAATGACAAACTAGAGAAGGTAAACAGTTTAACTTATCTTGTTTAACTTATAAAACAAACTTATCTTGAAAATATAATTAACAACAAAAGAGAAACTGAAGAAGATGTACTAAATAGAATAAGCAAAACCCAAAGCAGTTACGCTATTCTTGATAAATTCTGGAAAAACATAATGATTTCCAATAAAATTAGAATCTCCAATACTAATGTTAAATCTGTCCTACTCTATAGATTTGATACATGGCACTGAAATAAAAGACTTCAAGTATTTATTAACAGCAATTTGAGAAGATGAATCTTATGTATCAAGTGCTTACATTAAATTTGTAGTGCAGAAACTTAGAAAAGCAAAACAGAAACCATTGAAACTTGAAATTTAAAAACATAAATGGAAATGAATTGGTCATGTTCTACGTAAACCTGAAACATTTAACGTAAAACAAGTTTTTGATTGGAACCCTCAGGACAATAGAAAAAGAAGATGACCTAAGAAATACCTGGCCCCGGACAAATTATAAGAGAATTCAAAACAACAGGAAAGACATGGAAGGAGGCAAAATATCTGTCCACAAATAGAGTGAGATGGAGAGCTATGATAGAAACATGGTGTTCCAATTTGAAGTGAAGAGAAATATGTATGCATGCATCTTCAACTTTTAAATAAATGGAAAACAAAATACTTCGTGAAATTAATAAATTACACTAAAAAAAAAAAATTCATTGAAAACATTTATGTAACACAACATTTTATATCTATATCATCAAAATAAAATGCTGGCAAATTGAAATAGGCTGGAGAATGACTTTGAAAAAGCTAAAATATCAATAAAAACCAACCATTGATGGTTATGATTATATTCTGTCATATATCTGCACATGAAGATTTGATGGACATGACAATATTGATAACGAAATTAAAAGAAGTATAATGTATAAATATAATTTAAGTCATTTTTGCCAAGAAAACTCTGAGATAATAAAATTACGTCAAGATTCAAATGTCATACTAAGTATGTAATTATTACTCTAAAAGAAACTGATGATTTTGTTATTTTTTGTTCTTATATTTTTCAAATGACATTTCAAAACCTTTGTCATCAACATCAGATAGAGTGATATATGTTAATTCTTTTTTTTAACAGTACAAACATTTCAGAATTGGCTCTGTTATTATTCATTGCCTTTTGAGTGTATTGTGGTATTAAAAAAACACAGGCCAGTCTATCTATAGATAAAATTACAAAAACTGAGAAATATTAAATCACTGCATAGTTTTACATTCAAAAATTTTATGAACTTCATTTCATGACAAGATAAAGAATGTTGTATTATTTTGAAAGAAACTGATGGCTTATTTTAAGCTTTTGTATTGTTGACTAACATTTTAAAATTGTGCCACCTTTTATTTCTAAAAATATTTACTTGAATGATGTCATATTTGTATTTATAGCTAAATGCCTGAAGTTTTGAAGCTGTTATTTTTTCGATGCATACATTTTCATTGTGGCTTTTCATAAATTCTCGGATAGTGTTTTTGGTTCCCAAAGTAATTGAAATCTTTCTAATGTACTGTGAAGATTGATTGGCATTATAATAGATTTGCACGATTTTATGGTACTAGAATGATAATTTTGGAATAAAATGTTTGTTCATATCTAAATTTAAGCAATCCTAAATGTACAAAATTAAAAATACTTGTGTCACTTAGTATTTCAAAAATGATTCATTATTTTTACACTTAAGCTACTTGCTATTTTTACACTAATGATCTCTTGAAAGCAGTTTGGGATTTTTCCTTAGTGGTGATCTTAAGACAATACTGGTGCACACTGCATTACCACAATTTAGTTTATTGAAACAGATATAGATATTAATATACTTTGTATTGTTGAACTATTTGTTGGCTTTTTATGGATCTGGAACCATCAGTGGCTTTACATTAGAGTGGATTCTTGACCATTAAAACATAATCGGAAAAAAAGACAATTTGATCATTTTATCAGCCATCCAACCACTGAAAATTGAACCAGCTCTACATAATACCAATAATTTCTTATAATACGATGAAATATAAAATAAATGCAAGAGCAAGAAATCTTTAGGGTATTTAGAAACTCTAAGAAACCTTTCTTGTCAAATTGAAGTATTTT